AAATATTAGAAAATTAATTTTTTATATTAAATTCTTTTAATAACAAAAATTATTTATTGTTATTAACAATTGAAATATAATTATATATAAATAAATTAGAACTTTATATTTTAATATTACTTATATTTTAATATTATATATTTTGATATATTTTAAAATTATTAGAATTTTTTATTAAATTTATACCATAAAATATAGCAAAATTTTCATTATTTTCATTATTTCTTATTAATAAAATTATTGATAAAATTAATTAATCACAACTGAATTCAAATTTTTATTAAATTTATATTATAAATTATAATAAAATTTTCATTGTACTACATAATTAATTTAAATTTTTTTATCAATGAAATATATTAATTCGATAATTTAAAATCACTATTCAGTAAAAAAATATGAATAATCGAACTTTCATTAAATGTAATTAGTAAAATAATTACTAAAATAAATAGAAACTATGATTTATTTCAAAAATTGTATCTATTTATGAATTCACATTTGAACTAAAATTCATATTGATAAAAATTTCATCAATTTAATTTTATATTAATTAGTAGACATTTTATTATTCGGCTTATAAATTAGAGAACATATGATATCTCGATTTATATCTTAAAAATTTATATCTTAAAGATTAAATTAATATTTGATTAAAAAACTATAAAATTTGTAATTGTAAATGCAAATTCATAGTTTTCAAGATTAACAAAAATTTTTGCTAATATTATAGCAAATTGTTGAATCGTTAAATCTTTATTTATTTTTATAAATATATTTATAAACAGATACATGACAGTATCTATATATTATCTATATATTATGGATGAATTAATATTACCAATCTTTTGGATTCATGAAATGTGAAAATAAAATATAAAATAATTCTTGGATAATCGAAATTATTGTTACGTGATCAACTTTACATTTATTATTGTAACTTCGATTACTTCAATTTGGCATTTCATGGATCAAATTCTTTATAGATAAATATTAGTATAAGTTATATTAGCTTATTGGATAATATTTATTTATTATATAGATATTGTATATTTTAGATGCTGAACATAATATGTATTAAAATAACAGTAAATAAATATAAGTGATCACATATAACGCACAGATCATAAATGCATATATATAGATAAAAATCAATGTAATAATTCAATAACTGTTAATGTTTCTAGAAATATATATTTGCGGCAATTTGGATCACAACTATTATAATCTTTGAGGCATAAACTTTTCAAACTATTATACAGTTTCTAATTCATTGTTTTAATAATTAAAATCATGCCCATATTTTGGTGTTATTATTTGATTTTTTATAATTTATTGAATAATTTTGTTATTTTTTTGAATAATTTGCAGTTTCAGTTTTCACAATAATTTCAGTAGAATATAATTATATTTTAAAATATAATTTAATTTTTTTTAATTCTTAAATATAACATATAGACTTAATGATAAAAATTTCGATTGAGATTTATTTATTAAGTTATTTATTAAGTTATAAGCAATTTCAATTCATTGAAATTAAATGAAACGAAATGAAGAAATTGCTATAACAAAATTAATGGTTTTACTTTCTTTTTGTCTCGCTTCTAAATTTTAATTGTTTATAATTCAATAAATAAATTTTAACCAATATTTTTATATTATTTATTACTATCTTTTATATTGTTTTGATCTTTAAAATTAATTTTTCAAATGCATTTTATAATGCATTCTAAATATACTCTAAATATACTATATATGATACTTCATATTTTATATATAATAATATTTTATATTTTTTATAAATAAATTATTTATATATAATTATATAATTTATATATTTTTTATATATAAATTATATAAATAATTTTTTAATTAATTATTATTAATTAATTATTATTAATTCTAATATTTTGTTTAAATTATAACAATTTTCATTATTTGTTACTTTTTAATATTCATAATATTTTAAATATGACTATAATATTATTTTTCTATATAATATATTAGAGCAAACAATAAAGTAACATATATTCATCAGTTTGTTATATATTATTTTATATTTCTTTAAGTTTTTAACAGTCTTTTTATCTAATATATAATTCTTTTTTTAAGTAAGTTTGCATATAATCAATATGTAATTTTTGAAAAATTTTTGTCTTTCTTGTTGTCATCAAATTATTGATTATGAATGAAATTATTGATATAATGAATGAATATAATGAATTTCTATATGTCACACAGGCTATTAAGTATTTAGTAACAATAATTAATTTAAAACATGATTATACAATTGGCAATTTATAAATTGATTATGGCCTATAATTTTTTTTTTTTTTTGATTGATTTTTTGAGAAGAAAAAAGTTTCTATTATATCTCTAAAAAACTTTTCTTTCAAATGTCATTCCACCATCAGACTAATCACTATTACATATTCACTAATAAAAACTAATAATAAAACTAAAAATAATGCATTAAAAATAGAAGCATATATATATATATATATATATATAATAGTGATTAGATTTTGATGAAAGAATCAATATAAATGTACGTCGCTTCGAAGACAAAGAGTGGTTAACCGCAAGCCAAACTTGTATGGCTTGCAAAGAAGTTAAATAGTCCTGAGAGATAATTTAGCCATTTTGATGCAAATTATACTTTTACATAGCTCCTTGATACTTCATTTTAAAGTTTATCGTAGCTATATTGGAAAGGCGACAGGAATTATTTTTTTAAAGGAAAATTTAGAATAAAAAATATTCTTTTAAATATATTCTTTTTAAATCTTATTTCGAGATAAAAAGGTTTGTCTTGTGAAAGAGAGATAAATAACAATAATAAGATCTTGGGACAAAATCAGTCTAGTCGCGTTTGAAATTAGAAATTTTAATTTTATAGATCAGTTCTTATAGATAGTTTAAATTCAATATTAAGTAAAGTTGCATTTTTTTTTCTTTCAATTATAACAAACAAATTAACACCATTTCAAGCATACCATTATCCAAAAATCCATTAGAGATCATCTTATTACAGATAGCAAATTAAGATCGCAATTCTTATCATAATAATGATTTCTAGAATTTATCAGAATCCATTCTGTCATTATATAAGCAAGTATATAGATTTATTATTCATTTATTAGAATTAAATTCCTATCATAACAATGGCTTTTATCACATATTAAATCAATACACAACGACCGATCAGAGCCCATTCTCAATAGCAGTAAATTTTCTCATTCAATAAATCAGAATCTTGTGATAACCAAATTCGTAATTTAGGAATTGTTTGCCATAGCAATAGATAACTATTTTTATAGATAATGTATTAAGTGCAATTTTAAGATGCAATGAAATCATATGCTTCCTTAACGATGCAAGTCCATTAATAAATAATTTGTGATATTTTTTATGAGAGTAATTTGTAGATTTATTTAGAAATACAACTTATTCTTTGCAGTAATTAATGAGAATAGTCTATATACTTAGAGAATAGTCTATAATAGACTCTATTATTCGGAATGTAAAATATTGCAAAAAAAAACTAATAAGTTTTAAGTTTCTATTATTTCTATCGATCAAAATATCAATTTTAAAAAAGAAAAAAAAATTTTAAGTAAAAAATTCAATGTTAAAATTTGATGTTTATAAAAATCTTATTATCTGAATTAAGCATCAAGAAGAAAGCAATAATTTTCTACGTGTGATTTGCATAAATCAAAGTAATTTGCATAAATTATGCAGTTTATGAGTAATTTCATTTTCATTAAAATTGATAAATTTATTTATAGTATATATATTTTGTTTATTTATTCCATTTTAATAATTTTAGTTTTAAATGTGAATAACATTTTACATTATGAAACAAATCTAAATATTTTTTCTTCTAATTTTTTCTTTATCATTTTTATTGATACACTCTGAAATCTCAGTAAATATTTCAAATATTTCAACATATATATTTCGCTATTGGAAAGTAGAAATTAATCGAAACAAAAAAAAAATATTTAATCATATCACTTTATTTATATTCATCATGAAAGTGTCATGAAAAATATCATAAATTAATTGCACATGGACACATGTCTTAAATTTAATTGATATGCAGCAGTTATAAAAGAAATATAAAATAAATTAATCTTAGTTATGAGATTTTTTTTTCTGAATTTATTTCTTATCAATCACTCTTTTTTTTAAAAAAAAAATGATATATTACAATAAATATTACAATTATAAAACTAAAAAAATAATTTTATATAATTTCTCCAATTTTTTATTTATTATAATTATTGTAATAATAAGTAAAATATTATAAATTGATTATAATTATAAATGAAATTACAAAAAATTATTTCTTTTCTGATTTTGATAATTTTTAAATATGTTATAGAGAATAAGATTCAAAACAACTTTTTTCTACAATAATATAATCACTTGATTTTAGTTTTTAAAATATTTGCAAGAAAAAATTACTACTATTATATAGAATATTGCCTATACATTTGTAACAGATCATGCATCATGTAATTGTCCCTTTTCAATTATTATTTATGTAAACACATTATAGCGGCTGGTATTCAATCGCATGTATAGTTTACAATTATTGTAAATTTCATTTTCGTATAATATTTAAAAATTGAAATACATAGTTTTTTTATATTTTTACTAAATTATTATTAATAAAATAGTTTTCCAGTGAAAGTTTATGTATTCATATATATTATATAAAATGCTATATAGAATGCTTCGTATACATTAGTGGAAATTAATTCATGAAATAGTTTTGAAACATCGATTTAAGAAAATATAAAAATTTATATAAAAATAACGATTAAGTTTTATTAAATTATATTATATTAAATAGATATATTAAATTATAAACAATTTACAAGATCTAATTTGTATTAGATCTAATTAATTTTGTAGACCAAATAGAAATAGTATAAAGATTTCAAATTCTATTTTTTATGTAGAATCATTATGTACTTATATAATTGATACAGTTTGTCATTTGTTTCTAAAAAAGTATTAAACTATTTACGTCGAAAAATTATTAAATACTATATTAATATAAAAATATTATATTATATATAATTATATCTTAAAGTTTATAAAACTTATTGCTTGAAAAACTCGCAATAATCGAATATTGTATTCCTTGATTTTTATATTGTTAAGTAAATTTTTAATAATATATATTCTAAATTAATTTTTTCAATATAAACAAATTAATATTTTTTATAAAAAATAGATTTTTTATAAAAATTAACAAAACGGATTGATTATTATATTTAATTTTATTAATTACATTATATAATTTCATTTAACAATATGTATATCATTTCATATGATCTCTATTTGGTCATTTTTGTACAAAAAAATTAATTGCATTATTTTGTGATTTTTTTGAAATGAATAAATTTTTGATCGAACTATTTTTTTTTATACAATAAGAATAATTTTTCAATAATTTTCATTTTTTTTTTTTTATATCGGATATCTTAAACATAAGAGAAAACAATGTAAGTATACAGAGTGTCTCAAAAATGTGGGAACATTTATTAAATGAATCGGCATATAATCAACGCTAACATTATTATTTAGTGATTGTGATTAGTGATTCGCCAATGTTTTTTATTAATAACTAAAAAATATATTTTTGGCATATGTATATATATTCTATTTATTTAATTATCTGTCAATAGAAAAAAAATATTTTTATTTTAAATAAGATATAAAAAAAATTATAAAGATTATATTTCTAATAATAATATTGAAAAGATTAACTATAAATAGTATAAGTGTATAAGAGCTATAAATATATGTAGTATTATTCATTCTTTTATATTTTTTTTTTAAATTTTATTTGTTCTTTTCAAATTGATTGAATATTGAAAGCAATATTGACATTTCTAAATAGGAGAGATGAAAAGAGATATTCCTTTAATAATCATTTATTGTATATCTTTTATAAATTTGACAAATAAATTGAAAATCTAATGAAAAATTAATATTAAATGAAAAATTTCCGATAATTGTTGTTGTTCTTGATGTTCTTGATAAATACTTTGATAAATACTTGTTCAAATAATAAAAAAGAAACTAGTTTCTAATAATATCACCTTTCAAAATGTGAGAAACTAAAATTTTACTTTTGATATTAAAAAAATTCAATCACTTCTATCACTTATGATAAGGATTTAAAACTGCAAAAGCACGAATGTCAACAAAGTAAAAAAAAAATTATGAAGATTTTTCATTTTCAAAAAACTTTTTTTAATATATTTGTATATATATCTTTTATATATATTTTTTATATCTTTTTTTCCTATCATTATTAAACAAATAGTTTCTCTGAATCCATATCGATATATATGAAATTTCTATATTTTTATCATGAATAATTAAAGATTTACAATTAAAATTATAGTTATATTTTTATAGTTGTAGAAATAGAACATCGCAAAATTTTATTGAAATCAATGAGTTATGTGAAATATATTTTTACTATAAAATCGTTATTTGTTAAACGTAAATGATATTGCAAATTAACAATCCAAGGAATAAAAATTATATTGCTAATTATAATTTTTTGAAAAATTTCTTGCTATAATTTATTTAATTTTATGTATGTTTAGAATATATAATAAATATTCAATCAATTGAATAATCAATATTCAAATGCAAAATAAATAAAAAATTTTGATGCAAAATAAATAAGCATCAATAATAATAATAAGCATATTTATTTTTTTAATTAATTTTATTTTGATTTAATGTGATATTATTATTTGACTTATCTAACTCAAACATTTATATTATTATGTTAGCAAAATATAGCAAAATGTAGCAAAATACTGAAATATAATTCATTATATATAATTTATTTATATATATATAATATAATTCATTTAAAAAATAATGACATGATTTGAAATCAATCAAACTATAGTTAATAAATTAATAGAAAATATATTAAAAAGTTTTATAAAAGTCATAAACAATTGTACATATCAAAATTCATAATCCTATATTATTTAAAATTTTAATTGTTATATATTTATTATCAACGTACTTTCTGCACATAACTAGTACAAATTTGTTATTTTGAAGTTAATAAAAATCCTTTAGATATAATTTAAACTTAAATATATATTTATTTATGTAATATTAAACATTATTAATAATTTATATAATTCACTCTTATTTTCATTTTTATTTTCAATTTAAATGTTTATACTTTATTTTAAGTTTATCAACATATTTTTCATAATAAGTATAAAACGTATAAATGATCATTAAGTAAAAACGTATAAATGATTATTATAAAATATTTAGAATAAAATTTCTTGTGTTATAAAGAAAATATCGTTATATGATAGCATAATCATATTAATAAAAAAATATTAATCTATAAATTGATTATTATAAATCTGATTTTTCATTCACTTCATATATAATTATGTAAAATATTAAATAAATTTAGAATAATGATTTTTTATAATATTTTTGCAAAATGATTTCATGCAGGATAGACGTTTTAATATTTATTAACAGAAATATATTTGTGTTAATTGATGTTAATAGATATTAGAAATTAATAATTAAATATAGTTCTGATTCTCAGTTGTTTAGTGAATTTCTATATTTATATACATATATATGTATATAGTGGATTTCTTATCTCTTCTCGCTTCAATCGATTTTCATTTTAACCGGTTAACGATTGAAATAGATAGTAATTTTTTATAGCCATAATGACAATATAAGATAATCAATAATTATTACATATCAATTTTATTAATCATATCGTGAATTAACTCGATAATGCAACGTTTTTCATGTGTCCTTGTTAATGAACATATTAATATAATTTTAGTTTTAATTATTTATTTCATATTTATCTTTATGCCAAAGTTATTTTTATTATTTTTATATTTATTACAGTTAATTTCCATGACATTTTAATTTATTACATATTAGATATATATTATATTAAATGTTAAAATGAACATGAATAAATGTTGAAATGAATTCAAAAGTTTTAGAATCTTTAGATAATAGAAAATTTGTAAAAATAATATTGAATAATATTGAATGTCGAAAAAAATATAGTGAACAATTGGCAAAATAATCGGAAATTTTTTCAAAATCTTTCAATATATAAATAAAATTTAGAAATGTCTCAAATAAATACATGATAAAAAAATCGCTAAAATAAAATAGTTAATGATGCATTATGGATATAAAGAAAGATGAAAAAAAATATTTCTTAATTATTCATTTTTGATAGATTCAATTATATAAACAAAATAAAAAAGAAACAAATTTTTAACTAATAAAGAATTAGTTTTCTTTTATCATTCGCGATGAAAAAAACGTTAGAGAATTCAAGTTATTTCAAGTTTTTTTTTTTCAAGTGAAGAAAAATTAATAGAAAACGAATTTTTTAAAAAGTTTTTAAATATCATAAATGAAGAAGATATTATAAATTTGTAATTGATAATATATAATCAATAAATTTATAATTTAAATAAAATAGATATAAATTTCAAATTTCTTCAAATAGGATGCTCACTACAAACAACATAATTATAAATCGATAATAATAAACTTAAAAAAACAATATATAAAAAATTTCTTTCATAAATATTTAAATATATAATAAGAAAATGAGATTTAAGAAAATTCTTAAAAAAAATTAATATCAAGAATATTATATATTTCTTTTTGTTTTCGTTTTTGAAGAAATGTCATTCTTAACATTTTGTAAATTTTCATGACGAAAATTTGATATTGATAATTAACTATTCAGATGAATTTAAAGAATACTATATATATAATTATATATTGAGGATTTAACAAGTTATGTTAGCATCATATTAATTGAATGATTTTATACTTATTTAAATTTAAAAACGGGGAAACACATGATATAAATGACAATATTTTAGAAAATTAATAGACAAATGAAATAATCGAAGCAAAAAAAACTTATAGAAAATGAAAAACAAAGGTCAAGATGTATATATGTATACTATGTGCAATGTATATATATAACAACAATAACAAAATAAATCACTCAGAACAATATATTTGAAATCGCTGTGAGATACATTAAACAAAATAATTTATTAATTATTGTGTATTATTTATATAAAAATGTAATAATAAATTTATAATAATAAATTTATAATAAAATTATAATAAAAAAAATAATAAAAATAGCATGATTTTGTTTCAACAACAGAATTATAATCAAAGAAACAGATAAAAATTATTGATTTTTTAAAATAAGTAATAAATATTACATTTTTATATATTATATGATATTGTACTATATCTAGATTTTAGATTTTACATAAAAAGATAATTGTTTATGTATAAAAATTAAGTAATAATTATCTTATGCATATAATCATTGATTATGTTATATACTATATTGTTAGCCCCAACCCGTTCTTAAAGCTATGATAATAATAAAATTGATTTATTACAAAGTTCTGTTAACAAAGTTCTATTCTGAAACAATCAAGAGCAAAGTTCATATGATAATGAAGGTTTATCACTGAATTCACTAAAGTTTTATTCGTTCAAAGTTACAAAGTTTAAGAGTTCAGAAAATTCTGAGATGTAAAGATTTGATATTTAAAAATCTTCGGAAATTAAAAAAGTTCTGAAGTTAAGAAGTTCTGATTTTGAAAAAATTCTATCAATACGCTCATAATTTTAACTTTCTCTAAAATTCCTTCCACGCTCATCTCGCGATATCGCGAGTTTTCGATGAAGCATACAAACATCAATAATACTATGGACCACTCTGATCAAGCGATACTCCAAACCTAAAATTCGTAGAATTAAATTGAGAGGCTAGCCACCTATAAAATTCCTGTTTCTAGAAAACTGATCTGCCAATAATTGTAATAATTCTTCTCAGGATGATACACACAGTGTATCATCGCCACACAGTGGAATATTTGTCTCTCAAAAATTCTTTTTTAAATACTCTCAAAATAAAAAAATTTTTATACAGATAATTAATTGAACATTTGGTTACAGTATAGTATGATTTTTTTTCATATTTTTTAATAATTAACATAGTTGCATGGCTTTAAAGTATTCAATTTCCAAATTGCTGAAAAAAAATTATTATTTACAATTTTTCTATTTCTTTAATTTCATTAATTTTTGATTGGAATAAATATACTAGTATACTAAGTATAAGTATATACTTAGTATGTAACAAGTATATAACAAATATTATGTATTTGTATTATATCAAATTTCATTTTGATAATATTAATATTTTTAGAATTATATATTCTTTAAATTTTTTTCCAATCTTAATTTTAAAAAAGAGTCTAGCAGAGTTCAATGTTTTTTCTATCATTATAAAAAGCAAAATCTTAGCTTTAAAATAAAAAAAAAAAATTAGCTATTACTAATTACTACTGAGATAGCTATAATAATTTTTATTATTATTATTATTAATTATCAATCTCGAAAAGATCAGAATTTTTGTGTGAAATCATTGTGATTTAATATATTAATTTTTTTGAAAAAATAAATTTTCAAAATTCATTTCTTTATTGCTTTTTAAGTCATTTTAAATATCTGGAAAAAGTTTAGTTTTCTAAAGCATACAAAATGAAATGGCTGCTCGCGTTCAATCGGTTTGCAAACTTTTATATATAATGATAGTGAGAAATTTTAAAAATCCATATGTATGGATAAAGATAATGACATTTGAAGATATAAAACCTTTTAAAGTTTTTTTTATATAAATAAATACATATTCGAGTCAGCCAACATATGTGAACAAAAAATTCGCTAGTCATTAGTTATTACACAAATTGATTGCGAGTTTTATCTTCAAATTGTGAAAATTAATTTAATTATTATAGATTATTATAGTATAGCAATAATAATATAATATAATAATAATAATAATATAATGTAAATATAATGTGAATATAATAATATAATATTTATAATCGTTATAATAGTTATAATTAATATTTAATTTATATTAACTTTAAGAATTAATAATTAGAATTACTTATTTTGTGAAATTTTATGAAACTTTGTGAAATAAATTGATTAATGATGGAATTAAATGAACCAGATAAATAATTAAATTATAAAATTATGATATTATAGTTAGTGTTATATATTTTATTGAATATCTTGTACTTTCTTTTCATAGTTTTTTCATACTTCATTTTAAAAATTTATTTATAAATGTCAGATACCATTAGATATCAAAATTATGATGATGATCATGCAGTTATATCAAATTATACAACAACATGAAAATGGAACATTTAATAAAAAATTTGATTTTTTGGAAAGTATACGATTAAATAACTGTATTTTATAATTATTTGTATTGAATTTATTATTACGATTAAAAAGCATTTTGATTATATATATTATTATATTTTTGATAATTTATTTATAAATAATCTTAAAAAATAATTTTTATTAATTATTTTATATCCATAAGATCATAAATATAATATCTAACAATATAAAAAAAAATTAAGAATACAAATATATGATTTCAATAAAAAAATAATTTTTTCCGCTTTTGAGAGATAAATATCTTGTGTCGTTAAGATTGGAAAATATATCTCAAGATCATGTTCACACTTCAATATCCACACGCCAATGTTTCTAACAAATATATAATTTCAAGGATCCTCTAATTTTTTTCTCGAAAATGGTATTATTCTCGCAATATCATTTTGTACCATTTGTTCAATGTTTAACACACACGCACACTCACACAGAGACACACACAGACACACATTTCTTACTTTATTTAAAATCTACATATAAATAACTTATTCATTTATATTTATATTATATATATATTAAATTTGTTTATCTAGAAATCCGGTTCCATACTAGGCTAATTAAGAAAAATCTATGTATATATTTATTTAAAGAAATGTTATTGTATATATTATTATATATATATTGTATATGTATATATATATATACTAAAAATATAATTTTTGATATTCTTGATCAAATGAATAAAATAATAAATAATAAATTTATATTAACAAAATAATTTTGGCAAGAAACTATAATAATTGTAAATTTTAATCTAAAATAATGTAAAATTATGAATTCCTTAACTTGTCCAATTATAACAATAAAACTTTATAAAATTTTATATTTTTTAATTATTGAAAAATATTAATATAGAATGATTTAATAATTTTATCCATTTTGAATATCTCTATTATTTATAATAATATAAAAAAACTTTATATTTTCTGATATATGATAATATAACATATTAATTATTTTTAATATGAATGGATGCATTGAGGATATTTTGAATAATTTATAAAATTTATAAAATATATTCAAAATTTATAAAAATTATTTATATTTTTTTGATTAAAATGCTATAATTTTTTTATATCCGTAATAATCAGCTTTAAAATCAATTCAAACAACTATTATCAAGGACATTTAAAGTCAAATCTGTTTATAAAAATAATTTTACCTTAAGAAAATATTTGAAGTTTTGACCATTTGCGATGATACAAAATTGTAACCTTGAATCATTGAATCATATGCACATTTTATTATTTTTGACAATGAGTTTATTCTGGTATATGCTGTAGTAATTCGTTTTTTCATATTTTTCAATGTAGTTGACATTTTTTGTTAAATAATATATTTTTTAAAGTTTCCCAGAAAAATCCAATAAGGTTAAATTATGAAAATTGAATCGGTTATAAAAATTCTCTTTGATTTATTCATTGATTTGGATAAAATTTATTTAAAACATTTTTTACTTCGAATATAATATGCTGGACATTCATTTTGTTATAATGTCAGTCATAATGTTTGACAATTATTTAACGATGTATTTTCTAATAAACTAATTAATATATTCCCTATAAAATAATTATAACGCTTTCCAATAAATATTCTTGGAATAAAATAGGAACCGATCATATTATTATGAAAAATTCTTTTTGAGATACATAGATGCACATATTGATTACTTGTTAATTGATTGCAATTAATATATTATTAGCAAATCAGTAGTATATATTATGTAAATTTAAAATTTTAAATAATTAATAAGTATAGCTTCATTGGTCAATAAAATTAAAAAAAAAATATTTCATATTGTTGTATTTTATGTTTATATGATTTGTGGTTATATATTTTATTTTTAGATTGATAATTATAAAATCCTATAACTTTGGGGATTAATATGTGTGAAACTGTTTAATATACAAAGTTTTGCTCTTATTGAATTTTGTTACGTTTTTCTAAAAAAAAAAACATTATTATATAAAATATTGATACAAAATATTGATATAAAATACTTATATAAAATACTTATATAAAATACTGATTTCGAATAATTAATTGTTAATATATATAAAATGTATATATAACATCATAAAATAATCATGATATCATTTTATATATTTGATCTTAAATGCTGTTCATATCAACTCCTTTGAGAATTGATCTCAATATCAACTATCATTAAAAAAATTATATAGCATATATACAGCATCCTGGTTAAAAAAATGATTTCAAAGCATTTATTTATATAAAAATTATTTATGACATATTATTATTACATATGAATGTTCTTTTTTCATTTCAAACAAAATATAACTTTTTCATTACAAATACAAGATATATTTAAAGTGAATAAAATTATTATATAAAATCTTTTTGTATAACATCAAAATTATAAAATAAAAAACACTAATAAAATGAATATATCATATATCATATAAATGCGAAAAACTAGAATTAAATTAGAAAAAAAATACAATTAAAATATTATACATTTCTTGTAATAAGAAACTTGTATAATTAGTATAATTTTTGAAATAAATGTTTATTTAAAGAATTATTCAAAAAAATTTTTTTATATAAATTATTTTAATATTTAATATTTTGTTTTATTTAATATTTAGTTTTATTAATATTATTATTTATATTTATTATTTATATAATA